AAAAAGGTAAGAGCCCATCACAGGTTAACAAATCACAAAATCACAGTGATGCTTGATCAGTCAAAGCGAAAAAAAATTCACATACAAGAAGTTCTAAATCAGCAAGGTCTGGTATTTAAACATTTTTACTATAAATGCAATAACAAAACATTAAAACATTTTTAAGAAGATTTTGTGCAAAAGCTATGGAAAACATTTTTTATGACGACAATTCTGCATGGGCTGATATGGGCCTTCATTTTCTTGCCCAGAAATAATAAGCAGAGCATTTGAATAGTGTATATTGTTACCTCAGATTAATGGCGCAGTTGATTCCACTGCACTGTAAAATGCATTATTTATTTTCTGCATCTTCATTAGATGGGAGCGGGGCGTGAGCTCCTGAGAAGGGACGCATAACTCGCACTGTTGCTGTGGTGTTACTAGCTTGCAATATGGAGCCCTTGATGTTGGGTATTATTTTAACCCCTTGTCAGAAGACTGAGTGAGAGACTCCATTTTCAAATCTTGCTGCAATGAAATTACAGATAATGAGTAACTCTTGCTGAATGTAAAGAATTTGCCTTGGCACAACATTTCAGCCAATCACGTCTTAATGAGCCAGCTCTGTCAAAAGTGGAGTTCAGCCCCAGTTGGCCCTGGGTAGAAGCTGGCCGGCAGCACGATTAATCCCTGCCATTAAAGACGGATGGAAACCCGTGCCTACTGGCTCAGCATGATTAAAGTGGGCTGAACTGTGCTGACAGAAATGCATCATAAATGCCTGCAGCCTCAAGAACATTTTCATGTAAACAAAGGGTTAAGTAGCACACACATGCACACTAAAGCACAAGTTATACTTAGTGTCCACATTACTATGACTGTCCTCATGGTGTAAATTTTGTCTTCTGCCTATGCCACTCAATGCAGACCCATGTGGACAGTGTTTGCGAGTAACAATTTATACCTACACGGACTATATGTACAGACCATACTGTATGTGCCAACAAACTCACAAGAGCACTAGTTTAGTAACAAAACTGTATGCAGCTCCACTCCCATTCTGAAACATATTATTAGCTTTGCAAGTTTTTATAAAATGCAATATCAAATTATAAAAATAAAATTTTGAGACATGTCACTCAAAGCCACAACTGTCAACCTCATGATCACAGTAAATGAAAAGTTTGTCAATAAAGCGATTAAGATTCATTCTCTGGAGATGATAAATGTCTATGTATGTGATTCATTATTAATGTACAAAGCACTTGATACCAACATTGTCATCCATAGAGCTTTCTACTAAGAGAGGGAGCTAATAGTAAAAGGACAGTTGCGTATCAGGAACTGGCAATACCAAATAGGGTAAAAGAAAATACATGTGCAAAAAAAACTTAGAAAGCACTGGTGACTCTGATAATGTTTACAGCACCACTGTCTAACTGTAGTGACTGATTAGAACATGGAATGTGCTTTGTGTTATTAAGTGCAGCTGGTATTCCTGAGGCAAAGTAGTTGAAATGTCTTCCAAGAATGACAAGAGTGAAGTCTGACTGTTGCTGACTGAAGACCAGAGCTGAGTTTACAGTGAAGGAGTGCCCTGAGAGCTGCCTGCTCTCAAAGCAGACAGGATCTTTGACTGTGGAAAGCAGGTCAGGCTACACTGGAGTTTCCCCTTCAGACAGAGTATGTCTTGGAGAAGGGGACATAAATAGCAATTGTGAAGACACACCACTAAAGAGTTCACTCTGTCATTGACTAAGGAGCTGAACAGAAGAAAGGGCTATGACTGGGACGTAAGAAAGATATGAAAAATGTATTTTACAGAGCAGGTTTTCTCTGCTGTCCTTCTTTACTGAATTGGCAGAGGCAATTTTAAAACTTACAAAGAGGGAAATGAAGAGAGTGGACCATGGACAGATAACATCTGCTTTCTTGGTTTACTGAGTGTGTGCATTCATGTGTATTTGAATTTTCCAAACACACACACAACGAGAGGAGAGGGGCATGTCTTGCAGGCATGATCAGTTTAACTCAACAGATCCCATTGTTCTCCTGCCTAACTGGAAAACCCAGCAGAAAGCATTTCTCATGGACAAGCTACTGTACTACTCCTGAGGGGTAATGCTAGTTCCCATGGCAACTCCTGCACTGGATAGCTGATAGGCTTCAGTATGTCTCCACAGAGCCCAGTCAAACGCCGTTTTAGTGTGACTTTTTCAATCCCATACTCTCCACTCAACTTATAAGAATTAAAGGTATGGAAAGATCTGAATCTTATAAGCACTTGATCTTTTTATGTGAATGTGTGAACACTGCGGAAAGTTTCTGAAATTACACAAATTTAAACTGACTACTGAAAATGTCAAAAGGAACACAAATTCAGAAAGATGGTTTCCAAAGTACAACATTTCAATGCTATAAATTCAGCGGTATAGTTTCAACATTAAGTATTCATAGGTGATTGAACGTCACAATTATTGTGGGTATTTCATTGCTTTGAAGGCTATTACTGGCTTCCATTAAAAGTACTCTAAAAAGTACTTTAATAAAATACACATCCACTGTATGGATGTAACAGGGTGACTACATCTATACACAAGTTAAATTCAAAACCATTTTAATAGCACTTTAAATTAAATTTAAGACCAAACCTGCGATGAAAATAGCAAAAGTAAAAATATTCTTTTTCCAAGTAAACACAATGATGTCAGTTCAAAATGATCAGTAAAGTAAATTAACAAAAACTGTCAAATAGTAAATAATTCTTAAAAATAATGATCAATTCTTCTTCTTCTTTGGTCTGGTAGACTAGAGAAATTCTCACAGGGAAGTGGCTAAAAAACATTTAAGACCAATCCAATCCACATTTAGGACAGTTTAATACTTTTTAAATACATTTATTAAGTAAAACTGTATTTAAGACATTTTAAGATTTCTTAAGGACCCACAGCCACCCTGTATAAACATAGCAAACTTAAGTCTTATGTCCACTTAATTGTCAATTTATTAGGTACATCTAGAAAAAAAACTTAATACAGTCT